GCCTCATTACTCTGACTAGGACTTCCAGCAGATGTCGAATAGGAGAGGTGAGAGTGGACATCACTGCCTTGTTCTAGTTCTTAGAGTGAATGCTTACAGCTTCTGCCCTTTAAACATGATGTTGGCTGCAGGTTTGTCATAGATGACTCTTACTATTTTGAGGAATGTTCCTTTGATGCCTAGGTATTTGAGGGTTTTAAATCAAGAAGGGATGCTGGCTTTTTTTTTTTTTTTTTTTTTTTGAGTTGAAGTCTCACCTTTTGTCTCCCAGGCTGAAGTGCAGTTGCATGCTCATGCCCACTGCAGCCTCGACCTGCTGGGCTTAGGCAATCCTTCTGCCTCAGCTTTCTAAGTAGCTGGAACTACAGACACACACCACCATGACTGACCAGTTTTTGTGATTTATTGTAGAGACAAAGTCTTACCAAGTTGCCCCAGGCTGGTTTCAAACCCCTGGGTTCAGGTTATCCTTTTGCCTTGGCCTCCCAAAGTGCTGGGATTACAGGCTGAGCCACTGAGCCTGGCCATATCTTTGTTTTTATTTGTTGCCAGTAATCTTTTTATTTCTGTCTTGATTTCTGTGTTAATCCAAAAGTTATTCAACATGTTGTTTAGTTTCCGTGTCTTTGTGTGTTTTGGAGGGACCTTGTCAGAGGTGATATTTATTTTTATTCCACTGTGGTCTGAGAAGATGCTTGGTTTTATTTTAACGTTTTGGAATTTGTTCATGCTTGATTTATGCCTGAGCATGTGATCTATCTTGGAGTATATTCCATGTGCTAGTGAGTAGAATACATTCATTGAGTAAGTTGAGTGTTGAGTTAAGGTTCTGGATCTTCTTATTGGTTTTGCTTTGATGATCTGTCTAGGGCTGTCGGTGAGGTGTTAAAGTCTCTGACTGTGATTGCATGTATATCCATGTCCTCTCTTAGTTTATGTTGCAATTGTTCTATAAATTCGAATGCTCCTGTGTTGGATGCATACATATTTAAGATGGATATTTCTTGCTGGTGGATTGAGCCTCTTATCATTATGTAGTCTACTTCTGTGTCCTTTTAAACTTTTATTGGTTTGAAGTCTGTTTTGTCTGATATAATTTTAACTAACCCTGTTCTTTTTTTGTTTTCCATTTGCCTGGAAGATCTTTCTCCAGTCCCTTACTTTGAGCTTGTGGGTGTCCTTTGCAGTGAGATGAGTTTCCTGGAGGCAGCAGAATGTTGGATCATGTTTCTTAATCTAGCTTCCTACTCTATGCCTTTTTTAGTAGTACATTCAGTTCGTTCACGTTCAAGTTAATTATTGATACATGAGAGCTTTTCCCTATCATCATGTTCTTAAGAGGTTGCTTTGATGCTTCTTCTTCTTCTTTTTTTTTTATTAAGATTTTGCAGATGATCTGTATGCTCTGTTAACTCTGTGCTTGCCTGCACCTTTGTGAAGGATGGAACCATTTTTCCTTTCTGTGCTCAGAACTTTCTTAGCCCTTTGCACTCAGCAATATTTCATGGATCGCCTACCAGCAACTCGACTGTACTTTTTTATGAAATAGTGAAATATATATGACAAAAAATCCCAAAATTTTATATCTTATATTTTTATAACATGTGGTTTTGTGTGAAACAGTCATCAACAGAGCATTGCAGGTTCATTGGTACATGTTGTGCAATAGTTATGTTTGACATATACCACCTGATGTTTTTCTTTTTGAGCAGACAATGTGTTCTTGTTTTCTTCCTCCCACACTAACAAAATGTAATTTATGTCTTGTGCACCACTGTGAAAACATTTCACACATTCTCTTTCTACATAATGCCAGCTGACTTTTAAAAAAATGTTTATCCCAGTATATATTTCATCTCTTTATTAGCTTTTTTGAGCAGCTTGAATAGACAACTTCAAGGAAACAAACATTTTTGAAAAGTGTGCACTAGCATGTTTGTCCTGTGTAATCACCAGAAATCTCTTATGTACCCTGAAAGGGTATATCTGAGTGGTTTGCTAGATTTATGATGGTCCCCTTAAAGGGTACGTCTGAGAGCAAAGAGCTAAACATCTCCTGAATGACTGGTCTGGTGGTGGCATATTTTCTTAGGGATTGGATGTCTGGGAATGATTTTAATTCTCCATCGCTGATAAAGCTTAGCTGATCGGGCAGGCAATTCTTAGCCAGAATTGCTTCTCTGTAAGAATGTTAAAGATGGGACTCCAGCCCCTCCTGGCTTGTAGGGTTTCTGCTGAGACTACTACTGCATTTCTGATGAGACTTCCCCAGTAAGTGGTCTGTCCCTTCTCTCTAGTTGCTTATGATTTTTTCTTTCATGCTTACCTTGATGGATTACTATGTGTCTTGGGGATTGTCTTGTCATGTAATACCTTGCAGAGGTTCTCTGAATCCCTTGCATTTGGATGGTTGCCTCTCCAGCAAAAGAGGGGGTATTTTCTTGGATGACCTTTTGGAAAGCTTGTTCCAGATTGTTCCCAGTCTCCCCTTCTGTTTTGGGGATGCCAATCAATCATAGATTTTATCTTTTTACATAATCTCACACATCCTATAGACTTTGCTCATTCTTTTTGAGCCTTTCTTCCTTGTTTTTTTTGTCAGACTTGATTAGTTCAATATTCTGATCTTCAAGTTCTAAGATTTTTTCCCCCTAAATGGTTGAATCTGCTACCTAGGCCTGTCATTGTGCTTTGAAATTCCGGGAGGGAATTCTTCATTTCTAGGATTTCAGATTGGATCCTTCTTATGTTGTTCAACTCAGCTTCTATTTCCTGCACTGCTTTTGTTGCCTGGGTAATCTTTCTTTCCAACTTTTTGTGGTTTTCCTTAACCATTTTAGCCATTTATTGTCTGACCTCTGTCAGTCATCTCAGATGGTTCATTATGGATGGATTCCATTGTTTTGGGGATTGGGAGGTGCTTTTAAGGCTTTAAGGATTTCTGGTGTTTTTTCACTGGTTCTTTACCTGTGAGGATCAACTCTTCTCTTTTTACCATTATTTTTTAGGTTTGTTGTTTTATAGTTGCCCTCAGAGCTTTTCTGCTCGAACAAAAATTTTTTTGTACTGGAGTGTCAGGGGGTTATTTTCTTTCATTTCACATTTATTGGCTTCTGGGGTATCCTAGTGTTCTCTTTATGGATATCTCAGTACCTGTGTGTCATAGGGTAACAGAAGCTGGGACAGAGCCAACTAGGCCTTCTAAAGAGTAGGACATGGAGCAGTGCAGGAGATGAAAAATTTATATTTTCTTACATTTTAAAATACTTTATTTTTAAAAGAAGTTTTAAATTCACAGCAAAATTGAGAGAAAGGTACAGAGATTTTTCCATAGAACACTTGCCTCTCACATGCATGCCCCTCCATTACCAATATTCCCCTGCCAAAGTGGTATAGTTTTTATAATTGATGAACCTACATTGACATCTCATTATCATCCAGAATCCATAGTTTACATTAGGGTTCATTCTTGGTGTTGTACACTCTATGAGTTTGACAAATGTATAATGATCTTAATCTACCATTGTAGAGTCATACAGAACATTTTCACTACCCTACTCATTCTTTGTGGGCTACCTATTCTTCCCCCCGTCCCCCCAACTCCTGGCAGCCACTGATCTTTTCTTTGTCTCCATAGTTTTGGCTTTTAAAGAATGTCATATAGTGGGAGTCACAGTATGTAGTCTTTTCAGATTGACTTCTTTCACTGAATAATATGCATTTGTTTCCTCTATATCTTTTCATGGCTTGATATCTCTCTCTTTTTATTTTTTTTAGCACTGAATAATATTCCATTGTCTGAATGTACCACAATTTATTTATGCATTTACCTACTGAAGAACATTTGGTTGCTTCTCTTTTCTTAGATTTTTATATTTGTTATAATTATAATCCTTGAACATTTTTATTCCATACAACACAGTTGTTGGTAACATGTAAAAAAGAAAAAGAATGATGTAGAATTACTATTTTATTTTCAATTACTATTTAAGAATAAGTTTAAGACTGGATGTGGTGGCTCACACCTATAATCCCAGAGCTATGGGAGACTGAGACAGGAGGATGGCTTGAGGCCAGGAGTTTGAGACCAGCCTGGGTAACATAGTGGAACCCTGTCTCTACAAAGAAAAAAAAAATTATCTGGGTGTGGTGTGTGGTACATGCCTGGAGTCCTAACTACTCATGAGACTGAGGCAAGAGAATTTCTTGAGCCTAGGAGTTTGAGGCTCCTGTGAGCCATGATTGTGCCACTGCATTCCAGCCTGGGGGATGGAATGAAACTCTGTCTCTAAAAAATTTTTTAAAAAATAAGTTGAACTTTTGAGGATATTTTGGGTACAGGAGTATATAATTGTTCTTAATTTTTGTATGTCTAAGAGTGATAATTTAATCAGCAGTAAAAGTTTCCTATAAGAAGTCAATTGTTGTACATCATTTCTTGGGTAGTGTGTTAAGGACATGTCTTATATGGTGTTTTATGTCTGGAGGATCATGGGAAGACTCAGGAGATCAAGCTGTCCTCATGTTGAAGACAAATTCTTTGTAAAAGTGCTGGGTAAAGGCAATGTTAACATTTTGGTGTTACTCGCTTTAATAAATATTAAAATAGCACTCTAAAGTTTGTTTCTATAATTGCACATCTGGATGCTTCCCAGTTATGTTGGAAATTACAATAATTTGTTTTAGAAAAGGAAAGTAAAATATTTAGTGCATTAAATATATAAACATATCACATTAAATATAAACATATTAAAGAGGAAAAATGGAGCATGGATTTCCAAAAAGAGGTACCGGATAGTGGAGTTATTTCTATAAATAAATGCACCCTCTCAAATATAATGCTTTGTACAATAGAAGTAGGGAGTTATACATTAGGCACTGACTAAACGCTTAAGGAGTTAAATTACTGAGCACTATATGGTTTCTTCTCAGTTACTTCCTATTTTTGTCTACGTCAAAATGATTACTTGTTTTCTATGTGTCTTTTAATGTCTTAACAGAATTTATCTATGTGATAACTGCATTTAACTTGTCATATCCAATTACTCCCTGGAGATTTAAGTTGTCTTGCATGCCACCAAATAAAACCTATGACTACCTCCTCTTGCCTGCTGGAATCTCAAAGAATGCTTCAAATTTGAATGGATACTATGAGACAGTTGTTGAAACTAAGTTTAATTCAAGTGGTACCCACTTTTCTAACTTATCCAAAACAACTTTCCACTGTTGCTTTCGGAGTGAGCAAGATAAAAATTGCTTCATACATGCAGACAACGTTGAAGGGAAGACATTTGTTTTGACAGTGAATTCTTTAGTTTTTCAACAAATAGGTAAGTATTTTAATGTTCTTAGCATTAGCTATGGTTTTTTAACTGTACTGAACATAGTGTTTTAATTTTCTGAAACTTGTATGAAATAGATGTCTTATGGCTGTGATTCTTAACATATATTATCTTTTTTTATATTAGTAATACAATTAGGATTCATTATGTGACCAAATTAATAAATAAGCCCCAAGCAATTTCACAGCCCATAAAAATGTAATGAGATAACTCTTTTGCCTTTGAGCACATTCCTTGCAGTCTTCTAAATTTGCTTTGAAGTAGAAATACACACCTTATTTTAAAACATCAAATGACTAATGATACTGTTGAATTAGTTAAATTTTAGAATATTTATGAATAATGATATTTCTTCAAGCAAGGAATCTCCCTGAAACAATATTCTTTCTAAATTAAGGGGTTTTGTTGTTGTTTTAAGTGTAATACATACTGAATGTAGCTATTGTAGTTAGTCAGTCTACATCTGGAAATATAAACAACAAAATTGTTTTCAAGTCTTCTGGAATAGCTAGCTAGAGTCAATTGACTCAGCCATACAAAGAGAACTACTGTATGAAATATAGGTGTATATAAGTATAGTACTCCCATGTAGAGTTAGTCAGGATTTCTCAGTGGATGCTGTTGACATTTTGGACCAGATAATTCTTGGTTAAGGGGTCTCTTCTGTGCATTGTGGGATGTTTAGCAGCAGCCCTGGCCTCTACCCACTAGATGCCATTAGCCCCTCTCCCCAGTTGTAATAAAGAAAAATCCAGACTTTACCAGATGCCCCCTGAAGTACAAAATCACCCCTGGTTCAGTGCCATCGATTAGATGAAAGAAACACTCCAGTATATTGAAATTAGCTTAGGAATAAGGATACACTGTATATCTGCAACAAAATCAGATTTTAAAACACATTAGTAGTGATAAGTTCCAGTGACTACAATTCAACTCATAGCCATTAATCTAATTGTTCATGAAGCACTCAAAAAAAGTTGTAAGGAACTTAACTTGGCCAATCCAGCGATTATTAAATATACTATAAAAATGAACTTCGAAGAGTTTAGATTTTTTGTGTGTGATGAACCTTGAGATGATAAAAGGAAGTTAGCACTTCAGTTATGAAAGGAAATGATTACGGTGCTATAGAATTGAATTTTACATTCTAAAGGGAGGCTAATAAGTAGTTATTTTAAATTGAGTTTTTATTTTGTAACTAAAATTGCTGGGTTAAGTATTGGTTACTGAGGATTTCCATGTGTTATTCTGTCAAGTAGGATGTTTACATCGTAGCACTCAGCATTGTTGCCAATCCTGTGGTGTAGGGAAATAATGTTAGTGTTGTCAAAATAACTCAGTCCTGATTTCCAATTGTCGCTGTTTTTGCTCTCTAAATTGCAAATCACCAATAGTTGATCTGCATCATTATCTGGTGAGTTTTCAGTGTACAGTGACATACGCTCTCATCAATTTTATTTGGGACCTATGATACTACAATAATAAGCATTTATGATATGCATCATTGTTCAAACGTGAATCCCTGTGCCTTTATTTGCTCATACCTTTATATTCGGTGTTCCTTTTTCTCTTGAAAAGTGACAGAGAACTGAGGTAGGTGAGTTTTTGAGGTCCTTTGTCCTACATAAGTGGTTTGGCATTATATAAAAGGTTTGAGAGACAATAATTGAATTTAATTCTCTAACTTTACACAGAAAGGAAACTGAGGGGCTGAGTGACTTAGTCAAACATATACCACTACTTAGAGCCTGTTTCTCTTCCCTCAGAATGGACAATGGCAGTTGTATTGCAACACTGGAAATTTTAATTTAGCTCTTCTCTTTCACTTAGTTGTTCAGAATGTTTTTCATATTTCATGTAGTTTTTTTCATTTTTTAATTCAGGTGCAAACTGGAACATACAGTGCTGGATGAAAGGAGATTTGAAAGTATTTGTCTGTTACGTGGAGTCATTATTGAAAATTTCTTTCAAGAATTATGACTGTAAAGTTCATCTCTTATATGTTTTGTAAGTACCAAATAAATTAATCTGGACATTTCTGCTTCACATTTTAAAAAAGTGCTTCTGTATGCAGAAGTGGATAACGAAACCTCTCTCAACTAATATTTTCTTTTATATTCATGTACCCCGAGAGGGATCAGTTTGTATTTTTATATATCTGTATCTACAGCATTCTTCCTCATGAAGTTTTCCTTCCTGTTGATTTTGATAGCAAGACATTGCAGATATGGGTGGATTTATAGTCTCAAAAAGTATAAACTCAATAGATATTTGAGTGGCAAAGGTGAAAATCTTGTTTTATATTTCTTTTTTGGGTGACTTTTTTCGAATTGGATTTCTTTACAAACTTAAGACCATGAGTGTCTAATAGTTATTTGTGCTATGTAGAGAGCCAAGATGGTTGTTTCAAATAGCCATAAACTTATAATTCTAGTAACTAATGTATCATTCAAATTTTCTAGTAGCTTCAGTGATAATATATGCCATTTTAACTGTTTAACATTTTTTCTCATTAGTTCTTTTATTTGATGCTTGAGGAGAAAGATACTTACATGCTCCAGTCCTTTAGCAATTGAGATCATACCAGTGAGGGACAATGTGCCGGAATCTGTCCATATAAAAATGAACAGAGCCAGAAAGTAGACTGGGAGTTAAGAGGGATGGGAATTGGGGAGTTATGGTTTAAAAAGTTTCAGTCTGGGAAGATGAAAAAGATCTGGAGTTGGTTGGTGGTAATGGTTGTATAATAGTGTGTATGTACTTAATTTCACGGAACAGCACACTTAAAATGGTTGAAATGGTGGGTAAATTTTATGTTGTGTATATTTTACCACAATACAAAATTAAAACAAGAAAGAAACTTAAAGTCACGTAAAAAATGATGAATAGTTGAGATGCCTGCTCTTGAGATACCCACAGGTTAACAATTGAGACAGGTATGTAGAGAGTTTCAGTCTTAGTGGTTGCTGATCTGTATTTGGGAAGTACATGATGTCATGGGAGCACATGTTTTTTGTGGGGTCTTACTTAGATGGAGGTGTCCAGCTCAGCTAGTAGAGAAAAGAGGAGCAAAGTTCTCCTAAGGAAGGAGACAGCTGTGTTGAGTCTTCAGAGATGAATAAGAGCTAATAAGACAATATGTGGGCAAAGTGGGGTGGAACGGGAGATCAACGTCACCTAGAAACTTGTTAGAAATGTAGACGGGTCCTGAACATTTCTCACACTGCTACAAGAGAGGGATTGGCAGTTGTGCGACACTGCCAGGGGAGAGGAAGGGGCATGTAACATCACTAAGGGTACCTGATCCTGCATGTGGACTACTTATATGCTCATCCTGACTTGTACACGACATCCTGATAATAAAATAAAATTTTAAAAAAGAAACTTGTTAGAAATTTAAATTTAATTGTTTCACACCAGAACTAGTGAATCCAAAATTCTCAGGGTGGGGCTTATTAATTTATGTTTTACTGAGCCTTTTAGGTGATTCTGATGGAACTCAAGTTTGAAAATTCCTGGTGTAGCAGTTCATATGACAGATTTTAGAGTCACGCTGCCTAGTTCTACCGCTTACTAAAATAAATGTACACCCATATTGCTTATAAGCCTAACAGAAGTTCTATCTCTAGAAATTAAGTCAATGGAAATAGCACACAAATGCTTAAAGTTTATTTGCTGAAAGAAAGAATTAATATATATTGTTGAATGAATGAATATATATTGTTGGGTGGTGGCAATGGTTGTATAACAATTGAATGTACTTAATGTCGCTGAACAGCACACTTAAAATGGTTGAAATGGTAGGTATTTGGCAGTATATATTGCCAAGTATATATTAATTTCTAAAAAAATTGCCAATTTGCCCTCCAGACATATCTTCATGAGCCAAAAATTATTAATAAAGAAATATTTCCAGGCCGGATTCAGTGGCGCAGCCTGTCATCCCAGCACTTTGGGAGGCCAAGGCGAGTGGATGGCCTGAGCTCCTGGGTTTAAGACCAGCCTGGGCAACTAGGCAAGACCTTGTTTCTACAATAAATCAAAAACAAAAAAAACAAAAAAGGAAATATTTTCTTTTTTTTTTTGAG